CCCCTTCCCACTGCAACCCCTTCCCACTGCAACCCTTCTCACTGCAACCCCTTCCGACTGTACAACCTTCCCACTGCAACCCCTTCCCACTGCAACCCCTTCCCACTGCAACCCTTCTCACTGCAACCCCTTCCGACTGTACAACCTTCCCACTGCAACCCCTTCCCACTGCACCCCTTCTCTCTGTAACCCCTTCCCACTGCACACCCTTCCCTCTGCACCCCCTTCCCACTGCAACCCCTTCCCACTGCACCCCTTCTCTCTGTAACCCCTTCCCACTGCACACCCTTCCCTCTGCACCCCCTTCCCACTGCAACCCCTTCCCACTGCACCCCTTCTCTCTGTAACCCCTTCCCACTGCACACCCTTCCCTCTGCACCCCCTTCCCACTGCAACCCCTTCCCACTGCACCCCTTCTCTCTGTAACCCCTTCCCACTGCACACCCTTCCCTCTGCACCCCCTTCCCACTGCAACCCCTTCCCACTGCACCCCTTCTCTCTGTAACCCCTTCCCACTGCACACCCTTCCCTCTGCACCCCCTTCCCACTGCAACCCCTTCCCACTGCACCCCTTCTCTCTGTAACCCCTTCCCACTGCACACCCTTCCCTCTGCACCCCCTTCCCACTGCAACCCCTTCCCACTGCACCCCTTCTCTCTGTAACCCCTTCCCACTGCACACCCTTCCCTCTGCACCCCCTTCCCACTGCAACCCCTTCCCACTGCACCCCTTCTCTCTGTAACCCCTTCCCACTGCACACCCTTCCCTCTGCACCCCCTTCCCACTGCAACCCCTTCCCACTGCACCCCTTCTCTCTGTAACCCCTTCCCACTGCACACCCTTCCCTCTGCACCCCCTTCCCACTGCAACCCCTTCCCACTGCACCCCTTCTCTCTGTAACCCCTTCCCACTGCACACCCTTCCCTCTGCACCCCCTTCCCACTGCAACCCCTTCCCACTGCACCCCTTCTCTCTGTAACCCCTTCCCACTGCACACCCTTCCCTCTGCACCCCCTTCCCACTGCAACCCCTTCCCACTGCACCCCTTCTCTCTGTAACCCCTTCCCACTGCACACCCTTCCCTCTGCACCCCCTTCCCACTGCAACCCCTTCCCACTGCACCCCCTTCCCACTGCAACCCCTTCCCACTGCACCCCCTTCCCACTGCAACCCCTTCCCACTGCAACCCTTCTCACTGCAACCCCTTCCCACTGTACACCCTTCCCACTACAACCCCCTTCCCACTGCACACCCTTCTCACTGCACATCCCTTTCCACTGCAACCCCTCCCACTGCAACCCCTTCCCACTGCACACCCCTTCCACTGCAACCCCTTCCCACTGCACACCCCTCCCACTGCACACACCCCTTCCCTCTGCACACCCTTCCCACTGCACACCCTTCCCTCTGCACACCCCTTCCCACTGCACACACCCCTTCCCTCTGCAATCCTTCCCACTGGACTGGTGCTCTGAGTGCTCACTTTACCTGTGGTCCCATCAGAGTCAGGCCTCTGCAGGTGGGATCCTGGCTGGGGCCTTCCTCCAGCCTCCTCTGCTGTCCTTCCAGGAGAGGTCAGGCTGGCATGGATACCTGGGAGAGGATGTGAGGTTTCCTGGGAGAGGCAAATTAATGGTTTGAGTATCTCTCTCTCTCTCTCTCTGTGTGTGTGTGTGTGTGTGTGTGTGTGTGTATAGATGAGACAACTCCATCTTCAGACTGTAGTAGGTGTGCAGTCCTTTCCGAGTGTGAACAGGGAAGTGAGGCTGCTCTTTGGCACCAATTGATGGGGCAGAGAAAAGGCAGCTCAAGGAGGTGTAAATGTCACCCTGCAGTGCAGGGGCATAGAGGGTGAGGACAGGGCTGGGATCCTTACCTTGGAAGGAGAGTGTTCTTCAGGCTCTTGAGCTCTAGTCTGTGGGCTGCCATTGCTGGGAGTATGGGGGCTATGAGTCTTAGGTCTGGACAAGGTGGGCAGCTGGGGGCTGTGAGTGTGAACAACTGTGGTGCTGAGTGGCAAAGGCTGGCAAGTGAGTTTGGGGATGTCTCGACACCGTCCCCGGTCAGAGAGGTCCAGAGGCTTGTCGGGGGAACAGTCCTTAGTGGTCACATGTGTCTCCTTCCTTGGGGGGCTACCTTGGCCTGGGGACTGAGGACTCCACCCATCAGGCTGGGTCTCTGTGCTCAGAGCTGTCCTGGGGGCCTCACTCTCAAAACCTGAGCCAGCTGGTGGGGAAGTTGGCTCATCTTCTTGTGCAGATGGGACCCTCAGCCTGGCGCTGCCTGCCCGTGCCCGCGCTCGCAGCTGCTGCTGGACCAGCAGCAGATGCAATGCTCCTTCCAGTCGTGGGTCCTGTATGCCCACAAAGGTACCAGGCTCCTCCCATGCCTCTGCCTCCCTAGTCTTTGGGCCCTGGGGCAGGGGGTTATTGGCAGCTACAGCAGGAGCCAGGGGGCTGCTGTGGGGGCTTTGCAGGTGCAGAGACAGGTGGCGGTTCAGGAGGCATAGGCGATCAGTCTGAAGGGAGCGTTTCAGGGTCTCATAGGCTATGGCTGATGGCCGGCAGGCCCGCAGGAAGCTAGGAGGAAGAGAAGAGTGATGATACTGGCCCTTGGCCAGCAATGACTGGTTAAGTGAGCTCCCAGAGGGAGGACAATAGGCACGTCACTTCACGGATGGTCAAGCAAGCCACCTGAGGTCACATGGCCACGGGAGAGGGCAGGTTCTCAGGCCCTGGATCTGGAGGCCACTATGTATAGAAGGTGGCAGATTTGGCTAAAGAGGACCCAGAGCCTGGACACTGGGTCTTATGTCTCCTCCTGTGTCTTAGTTAACTTTAACTGTTAACTTGACACAGCCTGATGTCACCAGAGAAGACAGTCTCCCTTGAGAGACTGCCCAGATCTGATTGGCTAATATGTGGGGGATTGTTTTGATTATTAACTGAAGTAGGAGAGCTCAGCCCAGGGTGGGTGGCACCATCCCCTGCGCAAATGCTCCTAGACTGTATAAGAAGGCTAGCTGAATGTAAGCATGAGAGCCAGCTAGCAAGCATCCTCCTCCATGGTTTCTGCTGTACTTTCTTGGCGGTGAGCTCTCTGACAGAGGTAAATGTTCAGAGAGTAGCAAGCAGGCCTGTCTTCAAGTTCCCGCTTGAGTTTCTGCTCTGACTTCCTTCAGTGATGAGCCGTGGCCTGTGAGCTGAAATAACCCTTTCTTCCCTTAAGTTGCTTTTTTGGTCAGAGTTTTTGTTTATCACAGCAACAGAAAGTGAACTAGAACATCTTGTGTGGGGGGGGGAGGAAGCACCAGCTACCCAGAGCGATCCTCCAATCTATCTCCCACAGCCCAACTGGCTCTGCTAGGCAATGAGACTTGGGCTTTACATAGGTCTTCTGAGTGCCCCAGTCAAGGTGAATGCCAGTGCCCTGCCTCCACTGTGGCCTGGTCACTCAGGAGATGTGAGAACTGTGAGTCAACCTTGGTGTCCAGATAAATCAATTCAGGAAAGGTAGGTGACCTGGAGGGATACTGAGCAGCACTTCCCAGACTGCTGGTCCTCCACTATGGGGCACCAGCAGAGAGCTGCTCTCAGTGGTGGATAGGGCCTCACCTGTCCACAGGGAGGCTCTGTTCATATGTTGGGCTGGGTGCACTGCTTCTGTTGGATGGCGCTGGGGGTGTTCCGTTGGCAGTGCCACAGTCCGGGGGGCAGGCCCGGGAGCCAGGCCGCACCACGGCTACTGTCGAATGCAGCTGGTTGGAGATGCGCTGAGGGCTCTGTACAGGGTAGAGGGGGTCAGCCTGGCAGGGACACCTCGCCCAGGCTTGCCTCCCCCACCTCACATGAAGCTCAGTGTCCCTGTGTGGCCCGGGGACGGGCCTGATGGTTGTGAAGCTGGCACTTAGTTACTATGGCTGCCAGCCCACTTGCCTGGGTGGCACTGAGTGTTGGGGTGCAGGGGTTAGGACCCATGTCCTCACCATGTCCAGGGCCCTTGGCTCAGACAGGTTGGCAGCTGGGGAGATTCTGGCCACTGGAGATGCCTTGTGGCTTGGCACCTTATCTGTGGGAGGAAGAATGACAGGGAGCTAGGGAGATACTGTGGGATCCCAGGTGCCCAATCTCCCGGCTTCCCCCATCCCTGTAGACCTGGGCCTGGCTGTTCTTCCTCAGCCTCCTCTGGGCCTCCTGGGTGGTTCTCTGTGGCACCCTTCCAGTTACCAGGTGAGGGGAGTGGCATGGGTGATGAGGTCTCTGAAGTGCCCTCACAGGCCTGAGGTGCGGCCCTGTCTCTGGAGAGGACACAAGGGTGATGATGAGGATACAGAAGCTAGAGCATCTGAGACAGCCAGGCCACTGTGCGGCCAGGATCCTCGGAAGACACAGGCCTGCTGAGCCAGTGTCTGGGCCTGTGCTGCCCCACTCACCCCAGGCTCCGGAGCCTCTTCACTTCTTCCTTCAGGGTCTGGTTTTCCTCCCTCAGCCCATTCATCTCATTGGCTGCAAAGAGTGGCAGTAATTAGCAGCGAGGCCATGGGGCAGGATGGAGACAAGGGACTCCCACAATACCAGGGAAGCCCTCCGTGTCTTGCTCCAGCCTGGAGCATAGTAGGAGGGAAGATAATAAGATTGGACTCGGGAGTGGACTGTGGGATGGTGTTGAGTTAACCCCTCTGCCTGAGGTTTGAAGGGTGAAGTCGGCACTCGGCTTGTCCCTAGAGCTCCCCAGGAAGGTCAGGAGAGTGGGGATGCCCTGGCCCAGGAACTGATGTGAGAAGGGCCTCTGGGGGCCTCATCCCATGTGTCTAGGAATCAGAGTGTCCCTGTGGCTCTGTGTGGGCTGGCCAGGCCCTGGGGTCCCTGGCCTGTGGGTGTGGCTCACTGAGGACACAGAGGTGCTGCAGGCTCTGCAGGTGTGCACTTTCCAGCTCCAGCTGCTTCTTTCTGGCCAGCTCCTGGGTGACTGTGCAGCGATCGCACAAGCCAGCCCTCAGCCTGGGGACAGGAGAAGTCATACTGAGGTAGCAGACATTTGGTTCCTTCTGCCCGGTTGCCAGGACATGTCCTGCCTTTCCCAACTGTGTTCCATGGTCCCCCAGGCCTGTTTCCTGTTGAGGGCTTAGCATCCCAGGTACAATTAAGTCTGGGAAAGAATTTTGGGAAGGATGTTCTCTTATGGTTCTGCAAAGCCCTGTTTGGAGACATCTGTCTGGCTTGGTCTTTGCTAAAAGCTCCCAGAGTGGCTCTGGGAGGAGCTGCCTCACCTGTTCTCCAGCACCCGAAGGTTCTCCTTCAGTGCCTTCTGCTGCTCCCGGAGCTGGTGGTTCTTGGCAAAGAGCTCCTCTACTCTCTGTGCATCCCTGCGTGGCAAACAGCTGAGGTGGGCTGCTGGTCTTGATGCCTACAGTAGCCTGGGTTCAGGAGGGCCCTCCCTGGCAGCTCCGTGTGGGGACCTGTCCTGGAGTGTGGTTCTTCAAAGGGGGCTCCATTCCACACTCCCAGATAGCGCTAAGGACCCTGGTATAGGCCATTGTTTCTCAACCTGTGGTCATGACTCCTTGGGTGGGGGAGGTCAAATAACCCTTTCACAAGGGTCACCTAAGACCATCGGAAAACACAGATCCATAATAGTATCAAAATTACAGTTATGAAGTAGCAATGAAATAACTTATGGTTGGGGTAGGCACAACATGAGGAACTGTGTTGAAGAATCACAGCATTAGGGAGGGTGAGAACCACTGGTTTAGTCCGAGGTGGGGCACAGGAAGGTGAGCTACAGGTCAACCAGCAGCAGCAACAAGGCTGTGTGTTGGGCCTTGCAGCAAGTGCTGTCACAGGTGCCTTGGTCTCCCTGGCTCCAAATGGAGGGCCACACCAGATCCCTTGGGGCTGACATCTCAATGGTCCAGTCCTGGCCCTAACACATAGGTAGTGTGTCACCTTGGCCAAGAGACTCACTGCCCTCTCCCCGCCAAGCTGTTTCCCTTCTTCATTTGGGATGCTGTGTGTGCTGCCATCCTGGGACCTTGGGGGTAGTGTGGGTGGCCACGGTCTTTGGGAACAACTGCCCTCCTGTCCATTCCGCTGGCTCGGCTGGGCTGACTCACCGGTACCGCTCTGAGTTCAGTACTAGAAGCTTGTTCTGCAGGCCTGGCAGAGAGAATAGAGAAGGTGCAGGTCAGGCCCAGCCCAGCTGCGTCTTCACAGCACTGGTAGGGCTGAGGCATGAAATGGAAACTCCTGCCCTGGTTGTCACATGGGATCCTCTCCAGACTCCTGCTATCTTCTTTGTGATGGGGAATGTACTGTGTGTGTTTATCTTATTGATAGTTCGTAACAGCTTTGTAAGGGTGTGGGGAGGACACCCCATCTGTACCTGCTGCCCAGATGTTCTGGTGTCCTGAACTGAGGCCTGGGACCCTCGTCCTGGTAGGGGCAGAGCATCTGAGAGTGGCTACTTTTTTGCGGGGGTAGTGCTAGTGTTAAGGAAGGGAAGCTAGATATACTCCTAACTTCTGGACCTGCCAATGTCTACTGGCTGCATAGACTGGATGGAAAGACCCGGCACCCATCTTTTTCTTCTACTTAGGTTCTACTCAGTCTTCAAATCAGCACAATTTCAGGGCGGGGCTAGCCATCTACTCTCTCAGCAGCTGCAACTTCTTTGCCCCTGGGGTTCAGTAGCCTCTGCCCCACCCTGAGTCCTTGTGTGCCTAACCAAGTCCCTTAGGTAGGTGAGGGTTGTCTGCCAGCTCAAACCAATCGGCAAAAAAGGTCCACTCCTCTTTAGGGAGTGGCCTGGTCTCCTCTTGGTCAGTCCTGACTCCTCACCCCTCAAGATGAAACCCTATCAGCCCTGGCTTGTATCCCCGTGCACACTCAGCCAGGTACTGTTTCTGTTGCTTCTGGGACATTTTCCGTAACACTGTATGTGCAACCAACAGGCTTTCAGAGCAAGTTCTCACTGACACACCTCTTTGGGATTCAGGGAGGCCTGGGGGTTCCCAGAAGGACAGACTGGCTTCTTCCTGAGGCTTGGGGGAGTGTCTGGCTTCCTTGACCTTCAGATGGCCCTTTTTGGAAGGCCTCCAAGGACTGAATTGGAATTGCAATGTGGTGGGTGGAGGGCACCCTGAGCACTGGGAAACGTAGCAGAGGCTGCAGGGCAGTAGGGAGAGGTGGCTGTTCAGTACCACAGACACAGTATCACATGGCCTTAGCAGCTTCTACAGTGGGTTGCCTCTCCTTCTGGGTGAGGAGCCATTGTGTTAGAGCGGCCAGCCCTCTGAGTGGACACTGCGGGGGGCATGCTTGGGGGCTGGATGCAGCTTGTGGTCAGGAGGTGTTGATCCCTGAATATTTCCTCTCCTGGTCCACACCACAGGGTGTGGTCCGAAGACATTCTGCATGAGGAAGTGCTCTGAGCCAAGCCTGGGCCAATGCTGGGCATCTGAATGCTTTGCAATTTGTGTCCTTGGGTTCAGGAGTCTGTTCTCCAACAGACTTGCTGTACCAGAGGGGATCCTTGGAAGCTCCCCAACCTGCCCAGACCCCCAAGACCATCTTCCTAGGAGCACAGTGGAGCCTCCTACTGACCACTCACCCAGGACTTCCCTCTCGTGGGCGTCCTTCAGTCTGTTCAGCGACTCCATGAAGCTGTCCATGGCTCCTGGTGTGCTGGCCACTCAGCACTAGTACGAGGAGGGCTGGGACCTTTACAGTCCTTCTGGGTCCAGCCTGTAGAGAGGGGAGTGGGGAGAGGGTTGACTTAAGTAGGGGCTATGGGCTGAAAAGTAGGTGAACTTCCCATGTGTGGGGTAAACCTGCTCACGGTGAGGGGCTGCCCAGGGGGAGGGATAGAGTAGATGGCCAAAGGCTGGGCAGTGGAGGATGAAATGGTTAGTAGCAGAGTCTGCATGGGGTCAGAGTACTGGGCACCCGACTTCTGGAGGCTGGCTAGGAGTGGGGAGAAGGCAGGGGCAGTGGATTCCATGTCACACAGCAACTGTGGTGGCCACAGGAACTCGCCGAGCAGACATGGATGGTTTGGGGACAGAAGGTGGGCTCCCAAACTGTTGACAGACCCTCCTGAGCTCCAAGTCCTCCATAGCTGGATACAGTAGTGGAAGTGACAGCTGGTGGCTCTGTGTTTGGTAGGTGAGGGGTATGGGAATGAAGAACTGGGAGGTTGCCAGGCTGGGGTGGCGCACGCCTTTAATTCTAGCACTCGGGAGGCAGAGGCAGGTGGATCTCTGTGAGTTCAAGACCAGCCTGGTCTACAAGAGCTAGTTCCAGGACAGGCTTCAAAGCCACAGAGAAACCCTGTCTTGAAAAACAAACAAACAGCCGGGCGTTGGTGGTGCACAACTTTAATCCCAGCACTCGGGAGGCAGAGGCAGGTGGATCTCTGTGAGTTCAAGGCCAGCCTGGTCTCCAGAGCAAGTGCCAGGATAGGCTCCAAAGCTACACAGAGAAACCCTGTCTCGAAAAACAAATAAAAACAAACAAAAAAAGAAAAACAAACAAACAGAAAAAAGAACTGGGAGGTCCCTCAACTAGGGGCTGGGACTTGAGGCTCATCCAAGGAGGGATGTCCTCATGGGTTAACTGACCACCCCAACGTCGAGCGCCAGAGGCTGAGGGCCCCCTGTAGCCAGCCCCTAAGCAGGCACGGCTACAGCATCCCCTACCCTCCCCCCAGGTCACATGACTGTAGCTGCCTTTTTCCCTCCTGGAATTTAGAACAGGTGTTGCTTTTATCATCAAAGTCATCTAATCCTCAAGACATCTCCAGGAACTTCTCTCCCAGTGGGAGAAGTGAAGCTCAAAGAGGTCTTCCCCCACCTTTTTCACAGGGGGTGGGGGGAGTAGATTTGAACTCAGACCTTGCTGATTCACCCAGTGTGAGCTTGGGTGTTTCCCAGAGGGTCCTATGCTCAGCAGTGTAGGCCTTACCTTGCTAAAGGCCGGGAGGTGGGACCAGCTGGCTGGGACAAACAGGGCTAGGAAGGCACCTGTAATTCCACCCAGACTCGCCCAGCGGGTGGCTCTCCTCAGGCCCCTAGCACCTGCTTTATGGGCTGGGCCAACACCTGTAGAAGAACTGGCCAAGGGATCCTGAGGTGCCTGTAGGCTTGGGTGAGGCCTGTACAGGCTCTGAGTCCATATGCTGTTTTCTTTCTGCATTCTAGCTTATCATACTTGGCAGTTACTCTCAAGGTCCCCAAAGGGAAGTCCTGAATTCTCTGCTGTACACTGGCTTAGTTCCTTTAGATCGAGATGGTGCATCCTGTCCAGGGACCCAGGGCCGTGACAAGACCAAGCAAAGTCATTCTGATCCTAGGTAACATTGCTATAGGGATGATGTGACTTCTTCCTTGGTAGGCAGATGGCAGAGACACATATGACTGAGATAAAGTGAAAGTCAGTTTGCTGGGCCACTGCCATGCCTAAAGTGACTCCGTGTCCAGATTCTACCATTCTGGAATCTTAGGGGTCTGGGCAGGGAAAGGAAATGGTGGGTGGTAGTTACCTGGGTGCTTTCTTCAAGCCTTGGCATTTTGGTGCAGAAATGGGTGACCATGGGTAAAATGGTCACCCAGGCCTATGCCCAGAAGCCTTGCGAAACAGGTCAGCAGAGCGACTGTCCCCAGTAGGGCTGCTCTGTGAGTCTAGGCTAGCGGCTTGGGTATCAGGGAGCCCTACAGGTGGGAGTGGGGTCTTTTGAGAGGCCAACGCTGTATTTTGCATCTGGCTGTATAGGGAGCTATGAAGTGAGGAGAAGCCTGGAAGAGTAATAGGCTTGGTGCAATCTTCAACCCATCAGGGTGGAACCCAGGAGTGTGTGAGAGTGCTTTGGGGATGTAAATGCAGAGTGGTGATGGGGGTAGGAAGAGACCTAAACCCTATCCCTGAGCCTTAGGGTCCTTACACAGGGCCCTCACTTTTGATATCCAGGCTGGAAGGTCTATGTGGGCACTGAATCCCTGGGAAGGAGCTGGCAGAGGGACAAGGCTGCAGAACAGCCTCTGCTCCATCTTTTGTTGCTGTCTGGGCAACTGGGGAGGCAGGTACAAAGCTGGGAGCAGCTGCCACCTACACAGACATTACACACCTTCAGGCCTACTCTGCTCTCCTTTGTCTGTGAAGATACAGGGATAGAAGTGGGGTTTGTTCAGAATCAAAGCTGGCAAGAAGCATGAGGCCGGACATGAGATGTAGCCTCTACATGACAGGTTGAGTGCTACTCAAATCAGCTCTGTGCAGCTCACCAGAACCAAACAGAGCAAGTCACTAAACTGGATCCCTTCCCTGTCAGAGCCTAGGACAGCGCCCTACAGTGAGGAAGCCCGAGGGACAGCAGGAGCCTCGGTCACATGTGCTCACCAGCAGGCATACTGTAAACTCTGCCAGCCTCCCAGGAAGCCAACTCGAACCTCAGGCTCGCCCTGCCCCTCTTCCCCAGTCCCTCACTTGCTCCAAGGATCTTCACCTGCCCCATGGATCCTCTACTTTCTGAAGGGCCCCTCTTGGCACCTTCGGGTCCCTATTTACATTCTAGGGAACCTATGTGCTCTGTGGGGGCCTCCACTACCTCACAGGCCCCAGCTTCCCTTCCAGGAGCCCTGCCTAAACCTTAAACCCCTCCCACCTGCTCTATGGGGCTTTACCTATTCTGTAGAGCCCTCACCTGCTTCTCAGGGTTCCCTTCTGTTCTTCAGGGTCACCTGTCTCCACAGAGCGCTACCTGAACCTCAGGCCCTTCACCTGCATCCCACAGCTCCCCAGAGTGGCCTCTGAGAGGAAGCAGGGATTCTTCATTGCCAGTCACAGCAGGCCAGCAGACTGGTGTCCCAGAGGGGAGCCACTACCCCAGCCCGGAGTGCTAGCCTGGGCTTTCAATATGATTCTTGCCCTTGCTGTGTTTAGCCTCAGGTAAGTTGCTTTACCCTCTGAGCCCCTGTTTCCTCATCTGGGGGTAATGGCCTAGTCATGTCCTGTATTGGGTTTCTGTAAGACTCCTGCCAGTACCACATGCTCCAGGAAAAAGCAGGTGGCACGTATTCTGTGTGAGACAGAGGGAACCCTGAACCTCTTATCTTTCTCATGTACAGCCCCCAGAGGGCTGACAGTGCCCTCCCTCCTTGTGACAAGCCCAAGTCTTACAAACAAAAAGACCTTTTGTAGAAGGACAAATCCTTCCCCATGTTCAGAGCAGATGCCTGTCATCTACAGTGACCAGAAAGTGCTCACTAGTCCATGGTTTTGGGGACCATTCCCAGGGAAGGTGCCATCAGTTCCCTACAGGTGAGGGCTCATGGTCCCAGCTGTAACTCTCAGTAAGACCAGATGCTATCTGGACCAGCTGCAAAGCCCACGTGGTGGGTCAGTGGTCATACTTGGGTGTTGTTCTCTGGGGCAGCTGGATTCCTGTCACTGGTGGGTAATGGCACCTGGCTTCCTTCCCTTTCTAGAGTGCTTTTCGAGGCTGTCCTTAATGCCTGGCCCCTTTCTTCTAGCAGGCCCTCATTCTGTTTCTTTAAGGATGAGGGGTTGGTCCACCCATCTGATGTCCACCTATCCACAGAAAGCAGCGATGGCCACGGTGGTGGTAACGACAGCAGCTACTGTACACACCTCCTCTGCCCCTTGTACCTCATGAGAGATGTTCTGACTCAGGGATGTTAACATCCTCCCAGCACTTTGCTGAGGAAGCCAAGCTATTACCTGGCTTGCCATCTACCTTGACAGGCCACTGCTGGGTCAGGAACACCACCAGAATGTGATTAGAGTCCATTTGGAGGAAATACTGAGTATCCCATGCTATGCAATCTGCCTCCAGGACATGGAGCAGACAAGAGGCAAGGAGGCAGAGGCTGGATTTGAACCAGAGTCTAGCTCTGTCCATCTCCTCTTGTTCTCCATGTGGGAGACTGCAGTGATGGGCAAAGCATCTCCCAGAGTGGCCTTAGCCAAGCTACTTGTCTGTGCCTTGGTTTCTCCATTCATAAATCTGGTGGTGGTGACCGGGAAGACGGGAGGAGTCTGGTATGCAATGGGCGCTCCCATGCCTGATGCCCGGGGCCAGGTAGGGAACAGGGTGCTTCTAACCCACATGCTCCCATATGGTCTTCATAGTCACCATGGCAGCTCTTATTTTATAGAGATCTGAGATGCGACCTACAATCATCAGCTCATGAGAGATACAGCCTAGACATAAACAGGCCTCCTGGCAACCTCTTGGGTCAGCCTGTGTGGTGAGCTCTTTGCAGAGAGGTTTCCTTTCTTAGGAGGGTGGCTTCTGATCGCTTTCTGACACATAAACCCCTATAGACAGATAGCCACCACAGACAGACAGAGCAACACCTCCAGTTGGAGAAGCCACATCTCTTCATACATGCCAAAAATAAATGCCTTTGCACAACTTCAGCCCATCCCCTGCCGCACACGCAACCCCCTTAGATGGAGCTAGGGATGGCTGTGTACACACAGTCAGGTGGACGCAGACATTTGCATGTCTCATGCTTGTGTGCACACTGCTTGCATGGGCACAAGTAAAAGAATAAGGCAGATTTGCAGCTCAGGTAACAGAGGGCCATGCAACCTGACTCCAGCCTCCCAGGCCTAGGGGTGGGGGGTGGGTAGGAGACCCAGTAGACTAGCG